AAAATTTGATCTGTGCCATTACTTCTCTGAGTAAATTCAGATTTGAACCGTACGATTTCTTATTCTGCCCAGGCGTGATCCCTAAAGAAGACACTCTTCTTCATTTTCCCGTATTTTTCGTCACCATGAAGAGATCATGGCGACGAAAAATACGGGAAAATGAAGAAACTCGAGGTGACGGAGATGTAGTTCTACAGAAGGATGCTGAGGATATCATGGACCGAGCGTGTGAGCAACGATAAATTTTAGAGAGGTTGCAAACAAGAAGAAGGTTTATACTTAGCACCAGGAAGAGGCAGCTGAAGTTTCTGGGACACATAATGAGAAAGGAAGGCCTGGAGAATCTGATACTCACGGGTCAAATAAAGGGAAAGAGAGACAAAGGAAAACAACGCATGACGTACCTGGCGGGCTTAAGCAAGAGGATGACAGAACGTAGTCTAGGCGAGGTAGAAGAAGGAAAGAATTTGTTGAGAGCTGCAAGGGATAGAAGGAGGTGGAGAGCCATGATCGCCTACGTTCTGAAAGGACATGGCACATAAAAAGGAAAAAAAAAAGAATTAACCCAGATTTTGTTTGGGGGTGGAGAAGAGGTAGATGCATCCATTTCCAAAGGTCATTTGTGTAAGGAAATAAGCTAAACCCGATTGGAATTGGAACTCGGCTTTAATTACATTACGAAATTGAATTAACGTATATTTAGCGATTCTCTTTGATGAAGAATCGCAAAAAGATGACAACACTAAATGCTAAAAAGGTTAATTTTGTGCATACCAGATGTTATCTGAAATCTCTCATCACTTCCAAAGTACTATAGGGCAGTTGATACTAATTAAATATAGTTTTCCAATCATAAAAATAAGGAATTCTCTTGAGGAAAGGATGTTTCTAGATTGGCATTCTTCAGACACTCTTTAAGCCGTTACACTTATTAGTCGGAAGATTTAACTTGTTTTCATTTTTTAAAAATCATTTCACCCCAAGCATGGTAATAAAGCCACTAAGACGCAGGGGGGGGGGTTACGAGTGGAAAAGAATATGAGAAAAAGAAAACAATATTAAAGAGAACGAGAACAATAAAAGAATAAGAATTAAGAAGGCAGATGATAACAATAGACATTGCACTGAAATCTTTGAAGATCAAAGTTGACTGGAATGCAAGAAACCAGGAGAGAATTCAACAAGAGAGAAGTGTGAGAGAAGAAGCTCTTAGCATAACATTATGGTAAAATCTACTAACCTCGACAGTAAAAGGATGAGAACTAACAGCCAATCTAGTCACTTCGCTTAAATTCATAAAGTCTTTCTATCGTAGACGAATGTTCATCAGAACAATTAACATGAAAGTATTTATAGAAAAGGCTACGTTACGGCGGTGGGAAAGTGACTGAAGCCAAGAAGCCAGATTCGTCTTTTATTTTTATCAAGTTTCTCTAAATATATAGAAGAAGCACCAGACCATATGTGGCATCAATATTCGAAGCATAGACGAATGGTAGACTTATAAATGTGTAAGATAAGATTCTGTCAAGAAAAATTGTCTAGCACGATAGTGAACCAACTTTCTTAGCAACAGTCTTAACAATTAATTCAATATAATCTTTCCACTTCATGTCAGCGTAAAAACGTTAGCCCGAAAAAGGTACAAGAATCACTTTCTTGGACGTTAGCATCAGTCATGCTGATAGACAACAAAACAACTTCTCTAAGACGATTAAAAGTAAGTCGTTTCGTTTTGAAGTGTTAAAATTAACAGGCCGTTTCTTGCCCCAGTTAACAACAGATGGTAGGTTATTTTTAAGATTATCTGGCGAATTGATCTTATCGAATCGATCAGACTTACCATTAAATGAGAAGTAAATAGTTGTGTCATCAGCATAGATACCGAGTTGAAGATGGTTCTATTTATAATATCGATATAATTTAAAATCGATCACCGACTTTTACAGAGTTATCGGAAAATTAGCTGTTTGTTTATGAACTGTCAAATTTGAAATTGTGTTGGTCATTATTATCTGCATACAAAATTTATTTTACAAAAGAATTTCTTTTCAATAAAGAGCAATTAATTCATGAATATGTTTGTTTAGCGGCATATCAACTCCTTATGGGTCATTTAGTGCCGAAATTTAATTATGGGAGCATTAGTAATTTCATCTACAAAAATGTATTGCTGGTAACATTTTTTATATTTTTTTACAAAAATGTATTGCTAGTATTTTTTTTTTTTACTATGGAAATGTATTGCTGGTATAAAAATTTATTTTTGTACTTTCATAGTGTTTTGACCCCAGGTTAACTGGGGGTTAATTATTTGCCTATAGTTGGGACCCTGAAAGGTGCTACCACCCCGGATCAGGGTGGCGCTGGGAACAGCAGCAATGAAGAGGTAGTTCCACGCACCTCAGAACCTCCCGATAAGCGGCCTTGCTGCTGGATGTAGTTTATCATCATATCCAGGACGGAATAAGGGACAAACGGATATATATATATATATATATATATATATATATATATATATATATATATATATATATATATGCATTTAAGAGAATATTTTAAACAAGCGATTGTTTAATTTTTTTACCGAAGATATATTGTCATTAAAGGAGAAACATTTTCAAAAGAGCTACATTTTTAATTAAAGAGTTAAATATTTGCATAAATGAACAAAATTATATAAAAAAATATGTAAATATCAATTACAATTAAAAAACTAAGTGTAGATAACTCTGTAAAATTTTGGGATCAATTTGAACATGAACACCTAAATCGATAACAAAATCAATATTTTTCGATTCTGGCAAATATCGTGACGAGGAATTTCTAATAGTTAACCGCTCGTATCTAAGTACGCTGGTCTACTAGGGCGGCTAGCAAATCCCTGTTGCAGACGCTTGCCCAGGTACACTTGTATTTGTTCAACACACAGAGAGTTCATTTTGATTTATACTGTAACTATGCCGAGCAGTGTCTGGTTATGATGGCACTATTTGGTGTGATAAACACTCTGAACATGGCCAGTACGCTCAAACCCTCGGTCACAATGACTTGTGGCTTCGTGCTAACACAATCGCCAACGGCTCTCAAATAGTTCCGTCTACTCAGTTTCCCTCATAAGGCTTGGGTTAATCCATGACTTCGTTTTCAGGCCTTTTTCAAAGGTGCTGCACGCAGGGATCGATAAGTTCAAGGTCGCCTTCCTGACAAATCAATCATGATAAGATTCGAACCCGGGTTTCATAGTTGGAAAGCGACCGTTCTAACCTCGTGCTCAAATGAGGATGTCTAAAGAATGGCAATTTACAGAAAAATTCCTTCTTTCTTTTTTACGAGTGGACCAACAATTGATTTAAAGAATCCCTAAGATTGTTGTCGACATTCTCATCGTTGGTGAAATAACATAATGATAACCTCTGTTTAGTCTTACGAGGCAGGAATACACTTGGTAAAAGCGGTAAACATCAGTTAAGAGAATTCTTCTGTCACTTTGGTCATAGAATTGACTCAGTAACGGTTCATGAATATGAGTTGTGGTGTAAAGAATTACGGCTCGAACTGATAAATCGGAGAGCCGAGTTCGAATTCCAGTCGGGTTCGTGACTTACACAAGAATTCTATAAATCTATCTCTTCTATAACCCCCCCCCAACCCGAAACTATTGGTTGAATAGCAGGACAGATTGTGTTCTGTAGCGTTGGGTGGCTAACAGTCTACAGCAGAAAGAAACGGCAACCTACTGTGCGGAAAATCTTCTACCTAGTCAGTCATGAATTGAAAGAGACAGGATCGCCCATGGGTGTATCACATACGGCACATAACTGACTGACTGAATGATTTATCCGACACAAGACAACAAATATGTCAGAACTGCGTACCCGTTTATCTCTTACTGACTCACTTTCCATCCTTGATAGAGTTGAATATCGTTTACGTAGTCTTGTGGTGGAAAGATTGTTATCCATTCTTCAACCAATTTCTCAGTCTCAAAGTTGCAATTGGAATCCCCTTGAAAATTTTTCAAATGAACTCGCTTTTTGATTTCCACCAGTTCAAGCCTTTACGTCTAGGGTACGCTATGCTACTACCATCGGATCAAACACTCTCATTGCCTCCGTATTCCAAAATTAAGAAAAAGTTCCAGTTAGACAGCTTTGTCCCAAGAACATATACTTTGTGGAAGAGATTACCGCGGGGATGCTTTCATGAACCTTACAACCATAAACTCTTCAAGACAAGGTTCAATCATTATCTATCCTCCTTATTCTCATAATCTTCACTTCCTACCTTCTTCTCCGTCCTGGGTAAGACGATAAACTACATCCGCGTCCTGGGTAAGACGATAAACTACATCCAGTAGCAAGGCCTCTGATCAGGAGGTTTTGAGGAGCGTGGGACCCCCTCTTAATTGCTGGTGTTCCCAGGTCCACCCTGATCCGGGGTGGTAGCACCTGTTAGGGTCCCAGCTATGGGCAAATAGTTAACTATTACCAGCAATTCTTTTTGAAAAAATTATTACCAGCAATACAAAAGATTTTTGACAAAACAAAATTCATTACCAGCAATAAAAAATGTCGGAATTAAATAACTCATTGAGGTTGATATGCCGTAAAACAAAATAAACCAAACCAATCTAAACCAAAGAATATATATTCTATTCACACGAATCTATCCTAAAAATGTTGGCATTAAATGGCCCATTGAGGTTGATGTGCCGTAGAGCAAAATAAACCAAACCAATCTAAACCAAAGAATACATATTTTATTCATATGAATCTATCCTAAAAATGTTGTCGGCATTAAATAACTCATTGAGGTTGATGGGCCGTAGGGCAAAATAAACCAAACCTACCTTCTTCTTTTTCACTCATATCAGACACCTCATTCATTATAACGATTTTAACAATAACTATCCAGCTTGAGTGGTTCTCGAACATAAAAATTTGCGTTAGAACAATGAAAAAATGTAAATGTTAGCTAAAGTTTTAATACACCGCGACCCCAAGCATGTTCTTAGGATGACTGTTGAGGCTACTCCGGTTGTCACTGACGCTGTAGGTGGGCATCCGGTGAGGTCGAAATCAACTTCAGGTGTAATATTCCATGAGACTAGCATGTTCCCCCATCACTTTACATCAAATCGCCCAAATCAACTTCACGAATTTAAGCATAGTACTAGATTGGCATTTAGGTTTCATACTTTTATTAGTGAAATTACCAAGTTTAACCGTAAATTCTATTCTAATAGTTTCTTATCTCGCACTTATCGCATCTCTTCCAGGTTCTGTGTTTCCTGGTAACGATAATCTACAAAAGTTAATTGTCATCTTCTCTATTGTTCTTTCTGTTGGCTGTATAAAACCGCTTTCTAAGACCGACGCTGGACTGACGGTATAGATTCACAAAGAACTGTATCAAATGATATAAATTACATCACTTGAGAACTTTCAACAGCGGCAACAACTATAATGGATAGCAAATGTAACTCAAAGAGAAAATAATGATATAATCAAGATGTTGACCTTCCTACACTACTTCGAACAAGCTGTTAGGTAGGAAACCCCCGTCAATACTGGAAAGAGCGATAACAGCTACTGGACTTGAGAAACTTATTTTCTTGAAAAATTGTTTGAAGAGAAAGACTTTATAAGTTTCAATTGATAGCAGCGTTGGTTGTTTGGTCAATGAATGCTGAATGTTTCCTTATAAAGAAACGGCTAATATTACCATTAGCAATTCCATTTCTCCTCGGTAAGTTTTTCTCGGTTTCCTTCACTTAATTGTCATTTCTCTTCCGTAACCCCTTGCGTCTTAGTGGCTTTACCACCTTGCTTGGTGTGAAATGATTAAAAAATTATTGAGGTTAACCACAAGTACGAGTCCTCCAATAAGGATTGAACTCATTTCAGTAGATATATTCAGTGAAACGAGCTTCCTGGTCCGTGCTTCACTCTTTTACATTCAGCATAGTGTGACACGCTGTGATGATCGGGCACATCTCTCTAGGGACCTTCTATGAAACTAATAATAATGATTGGATACTCGTTTTCTGCCCGTTAAAGTGGCTAGCCAATCCCTGTTGCATGCGTCTGCTCTCACAGATTTGTGTTTGTTCAAAAAAAAAAAAAAAAAAAAAGAAAAAAAAAAGACAACCTGTGGTTTATACTACAACTCTGCTGAGCGGACCATAGTTATAGTTTCCCTGGAGAGGGTGCATAATCTGGGGTGATCAGTAGGCTCAAACCCTAGAGCACGATGTGAGGGGACCTCGTGCCAGTGCAACCATCGACAAATTTCACTCACCAAAATTTGGGTCAATCTTTGATGTGGTTTTCAGGCACTATCCATAACGATGACACCAATAAGTTTTCTTCATGACAAGTCAACCATGATTGAGATTTGAACTCGGGTCTCATGGTCGGAAAGCAAACATTCTATTCTGTCAGGCACTCATATACAGATTTCGGCAAACTTAGATCTTCGTTTCCAAACTAAAGCAAAACAAAAACTAAAAAACTAAAAACAAAGCACACACATCGCCTTTTAAAACAATAAACATTGCCAAGGAGTGAAGGTAGTTAAAATAATAGCGGTGTCAATGGAAAAAACGTCCTTTGGACACTGTATTGTTTTTTGGTCACGAAGGTCCATGTTTGCCTGAATGTCTTTATTAGCTGGAACTCTCCTCAATTACACATCTGTATCTGATTTCCATTCGAAGTCTTTTATATATTAAAGATCACGTTTAAATACTACTACTACTACTACTACTACTACTACTACTAATAATAATAATAATAATAATAATAACATACAAGTTACTTTAAAGCATCTGGTCTTGTGCTTCTGTATTTAATCGTTTTTGATATGATAAATCTGCAACATTATCGGTCAGGACCTGGCATCTCAGCTTTAGTCACTTTCCCACCTTCATTACATTGCTTCTCTGTGCATTTTCTAGAATTATTTTCACTAGAAAGACCCGTGAAAATTTCATGGTTTTCCTGTTTGAAATTTCTGACGAATCTTGATTCTTCAGATAATGATTGAATAAACTGGTGGCAAGTTCTACGACATTAAAATACCCGTAGAAATTCCCTTATCACATATTTTTGATCTTAACAACTTTAACAAAATATTGCAATAACAATCATGAATATGAATGCTGGTTGTTATTTTAAGAAGTAAGGGGGTACAAATGAAAAGATTTGTAATTGACAACTTTTTTTTCATTTCATGGAAACAGACGTTAAACACATTTATATTTCCGTCTTTCTAGTCAAATCTCTCTTTTCCGAACATTTCAGTTAATAATAATTTAAAAATAATTCAGCAGTCGATGCTATTTTATTTATAGTAACTGTTTTTTTCTTTTCTTTTTTGCCTTACTCGATCTCCGTCGTTTGATACTGTACGTCTTAAAAACTTTTATCTTTTATCGCGGTCGCCGTGACACCTCGCCTTTTGGTTGAGATCAAAGTGTAGTATCTGCTCTTATCTAATCAAATAATTCTCTCTTCACATTTACTTTCCATTCTTTCTTTCCTCTTTCTTGCATTTCCTCACTGAAATCAACTAATATTTTGTTCTCTTTTCCGCGCGGTCAAAACGTGGAATAGTCTATTATTTATGAGGTATTAACAGGACGTAACAGTCGTTCTAACTAACGAAGCAATGGACAAGCACAATTATAATTAGATGATAATTTTCTGATGAACTTTCCTCGCCTTGGAACTTAGACTTTACGAATTAAACCACAATACAAGTTTGGCGGTAACCGTAAGTTCTATGCTGACAGTTTCTTCTTTCGCATTTCTCGCTTGTGGGACTCTCTTCCGGCTTTTTGCATTCCAGTCAACTTTGGTCTTAAAATATTTAAATGCAATATCAATCGTTATCTTCAGTCTTCTTAATTCTTCTTCTTTTATTATTCTCTCTCCTTAATAATGTTTTTTTTTTACTCATATTGTCTCTTATTTAGTAACTTAGTCTTAGTGGTTTTATTGCCTTGATTAGGGTGAAATGATTAAAAAACATTCAAGAGAAAGAGACGAGCATGAATCTGACGCCAATCGTTTTCTTTAACAGCGTCATGTAACTTCTAAATAAAAGTTTTGAGATGTCTATGACCGTCTGCAAATGATCTAACACAATATTAAATCAAACTTTTTTTTCTTTATGATGAATGGTTTTGGGCACGCATGAAATACTTCTATGTAAATCAATACAAATATGCAATGGACGAATTTTTTATTTGTTATTATAAAATATCATCTGTCTACATTGTTATTTAAAAAAAAGCCAACTCTCTTTGTCATTCAGAAAATGAATATTAAACAAGTTTTAACTATCGTTTATATAAATAGTATCATTGCGATCCCTCAAAGGTTTTTCTTCGGTAGAGGCGGTGTAAAAGTGTCTGCTCTATTGTTGGGGGAGTGGCGCGTTTATTTACCAAAGCGGGTACAACTAATAATAAATAAATACAACAGAGACCTAATCTAAGTCGACGATCAAAATCAATCTATAGTATAACAAATACAGTACGCGATCTCTCTCTTTCTTCATGTATATATATATATATATATATATATGTGTGTGTGTGTGGGGGGGGTATAGGCGGATGAAAAAATAGCTATGCAGAAATGAAAAATAAAGTTCGCATAAAACTTATTGAACTGATTATACAAATATATCAGTATAATACTGATAATAGTATAATAATGGCTGTATACCTACTTTTGCAACCCCCTTATATACCGAGTGTAACAGAAAAATTGTCCAAATCGTGTAGTAGAAAAATTGTCCAATTGTTAGATTAAGTTTTGAACCGTTGTATCTTAGAAATAATTAAAGACATCTTACTAGAATTCTCTGAGGTCTTTATAACACTATTAGACTCTACTTTGAGCAATAAGAATGGATAATTACTCTTCAAGTTTAGCAGAAGTTAAATCGATCAGAAACAAGAAATGGCATGTTCATCATTAGTTAATCATAACTAAGAATCGGAAGCTCATCAAGGATTGAAATAAAGTTCATATATATATATATATATATATATATATATATATATATATATATATATATATATATAACAGGAATATTTTCCAACTTATTCAAGATGATCTTGGCCCTCTCTAATTGTCTAACTTTCTGTCCTTGAATAACAATGTGCCTCACACGTTTCACGTACGATTTCATTTTCAAGCTTTTTTCACTACTCTTTGAACTGTCATAGCTGAAACTCCTCTCACGCACCAATCTTATAGATTGAGTTGGATCTTTTCTAATTGATCTCTTTAGCACTAAGTTGAAATGATGATCCCTCTTCACGTTGTGACCTCCTACCATCCAGTTTTCGTCTCTACTGATCCCGCTTTTTTAAACTTATTCTCCATTCTCTTGATGGTTCTTGAATGGACTTTGAAGATGAAAGCCAGAGTATAAATGTTGGCACCATTACTAAGTTCCTTAATGATTTTTCCTCTCACCATTGCTCAATTGAGAAGACAGATTTTAAACAGTTCCCTTACTACCTAAATAACCCAAAATAGGTTTTCAGCGATTCTTACGACAAACGGTATCAAGGTGGATAAATGTCGTATCTGAAAAGCTGTAAAAAAGAAGCTCAATAAGTTTAGTGTTTTTTTTAGATATTAAACAATTTGTGGGATCGACAATTATGCTGTGACACGATTTGGACAATTTTGCTGTTATACCCGATATATGCTTACATTACATGACTCATTAGTTCTACGAAACTCAACAATTCTCTCTACCTACCCTGATGATGACTTAAGAAAGTCGAAAGGTTAGATCATATTTTATGTACTATTCTTCCGAAATGAACTTCGGACAATTTCTGATGGTGTTTCAGTCATGTCTGAGAAGGATTATTCGTAATTTGGAAAAGTCGATCAGTAAAATTAATCGGCACAAAATGTCTATTGATTTTAATATATATATATATATATATATATATATATATATATATATATATATATATATATATATATTGTTGAGTAATTGTAATGATGAATGTATCATCCTAACTATTAGTCATAAGTGACTGTTAAAATAAATTTGGAGTCCACGAAAATACCTTAGTCTAACCCGGGAGTGTACAAGGTAGATTAAAAAAAAACTGTTCTCCTTCATTATAACATCAGGTAGAATGCATCATGAATAACAAGTGAGAAACTTTTGGAACGACGTTGTTCGGTTTTAACACATCCGCCATATTCACCTGACTTTGCAGCAACATACTTTGATCGCTGTAAAACGTTTTGATGGGTGAAAACGTTCTCTAATAAAAATCAGATTCATAAATTCATCGAGATTTATTTCACACCTAAATCTGCAGAATTTTACTAAAAAAAAGTGTCGAAGATTTGACTGATAAGTGACAAATCATTATAATCAATGGTGAATATATCATTGAATCAAATATAATTTTACTTGACGTTTTTGTAAGTTGATAAGCAAAAATAGAAAATCTATATAACTCAATGCACCCGCGAGCACATTCAACATATTGTGAAGCACAGAAAGCAATTCCCGAAAGAGTTTGCTGAAGAGGCACACCAGACAAAGAAAGACCAATGATAAAACGACATCGCATTATATTATATCATAATATATTCCGGTGTAACTGTTGACCGATCACTACCAATGATTTTATACGTAATAATACATGCGATCCTCTGGTAATTAGGAGTTGTTGTCGTGGATACGGGCATTTTTACCCCCATCGAGTAGCTCAAAATGTTATCATGAGGGGAGTTGCCTTATTCATAACATGCAAACACCGGTTAGAGTCAGTAAGGTAGGAAAAAATACCCGTGCGGTTAAAGATAGAAAAAAAACCACCAAACAAACAACAAAATAACACCAGAATAATTTGCACGTGTGACCAAAAGGAGCTCAATGGGAAAAATGAAACCTCGGCAAACGATAAAATCAAAAAAGTGGTTGAATCTCTGAAGGTAGTGCATACCACCAATTGTGAAATCATTGGTAGCGATTGGTCAAGAATATGGAGGAATATATATATATATATATATATATATATATATATGCAAAAATATATTGTTAAATGTAACAGACACCATATGTCTATAATGTTTGATCATGATTGAACATAATAGACATTCGTTAACAATATATGTTTGAATAATGATCTGTTACCCTAACACACACACACACACACACACACACACACACACACACACACACACTACATATATATATATATATATATATATATATATATACAATTAAATATATATATCTGTGTATGTATATATATATATATATATATATATATATATATATATATATATATATATGTTACTTAAACGTTATTTTTAGTGGATACTTGTATTCGAGTAGACGATCTATTTATTTATTAAACAGTATATTTATTTATTTTTGTCTACCGGACGAGAAAACTTACTAAAATAAAAAAAAAATGGGATCTTTAGTAGGATTCAAACCTGCGTCCACTTAGGAGAGCCCGTCGTCAAGTCCGATGTGTTTTAAACCACGCGGCCACTTTGTGTCTTGATGGGCAAATAAAGTTAAATACTGCCTTTAAACACAGATTTTTGCCTGACTCTCAAAATAGACATATAGCTCCGTTTCGTACCTGAAGGCAAACAAAGCAATTTCTAAAGAAAGGGATCAATTTTTTATTTATTAATCCGACACATTTTTATTACTTAAACGTTATTTTTAGTGGATATTCGTATTTGAGTAGACGTTCTGTTTATTTATTAAACAGCATTTAAACACTACCCAAATTGGTTTTATCATTGACTGAGGTATCTGAAGCACGTCGGGTCGAACGATTGATTCTTTTAAGGGGACACAGGTTCGAATCCTGCCGGAGAGTGCATGTTATAAATTTTATCAAAGAAAATTTATAAATCATAAATTTTATCAAAGAAACTTTGATAAAATTTATCAAATATTCAGGCTGGCTGACGAAAATAAATAAATATACTGATTGATAAATAAACGTAGCGTCTATTCAAATATAGTTTGGTTTGATTTGTTTTACGGTAAATCAACCTCAATGGGTTATTTAACGCCAACAAGATTTTTATTGCTGGTAATATTTTTTTTTGAAAAATGTATTGTTGGAAATAATTTTTTTCTTCAAAAATTCATTGCTGGTAAAAAGCTTTTACAAAAATTCATTGCTAGTATTAAAACCCATTTTTACACTTTCACGGTGTCCTGACCCCAGCTTGGGGATCAACTACTTGCCCCCAGCTGGGATCCCAACAGGTAACACTACCACGGGTCAGGATGGATCCGGGAACACCAGCAACCAAGAGGTAATTCCACGCTCCTCAAAACCTCTTGATCAGAGGCTTGCTATTGGATGTAGTTTGTCGTCTTACCCAGGACGCGGGTGAAGTTTATCATCTTACAAACAAACAAGCGGGTATCCTGGTTTATGGGTTTTTATATTTCCATATAAATATCCCGGTTGGTAATCTCCAACTATTTTTTGAATTTTCAGGGAATTGACTTCCGCGTTGTGAGTTGTTATTAGTTTGTTGACAGACATTTTTAAAGTCTCAGTGGGATTTCTTTTCAGTTTGGTGAATTTAGTTCGATCATCGACAATATTTTTAAATTTTTGGTGGTAATGCCCGCTACGACCAATTATTTCCCAGATACCAACACCTATCTACGAACTATGAAAATTCTTGAACGACATCATCACTCAATACCTACGTACCAATTACAGCATCACATCCACCCACGATTTCCTGCAAATTTTAAAAACTACAACCCCCCACCAAAAAAAAAAAAAAACCCAAAAAAACAAATCAAGGTATAATAGCGTCACTTGACGTCGAAAACTTATTTACAAACGTCCCCGTCGACCAAACTATTGACATTATCCTCAATTCTGTATATACTAATAATTCTATCCCTCCGCCATCCATCAAACCATCCTTCCTTAAAAAATTACTACACGCATTCTATGACCATAATGGCAATATTTATACCCAAACTAATGGTGTTAGTATGGGAAATCCACTCGGTCCTTGCTTTTCCAACTATTACATGTCCCACGTAGAAAATACTATATTTACACAGGTCCGCAAACCGAAAATCTATGTTCGCTACGTAGACGATATTTTTATTTTAGCTAATAACATTAAAGAAATAGAGACACTTAAGACCACATTTGAGAAAAACTCCGTCCTTAACATTACATATGAACTTAGCCAAAAAAACAAACTTCTATTCTTAGATGTCCTCGTTGAACACATCAATAACACTTTCATTACATCATTATGCAAAAAACCAACCAGCAAAAACTCGTGCCACCTTAATTTCAAAAGTGAATGTCCACTTAGGTACAAAATAGCAGTAAGAAAAAAAACTTTCTAAATAGAGCACACCAGAACTCATCCTCTCGACTACTCTTCTTCAAAGAACTTAATAATGTTAAACAAACACTAATCAACAACGGCTTCCCTCACCACTTTATAGACGACCAAATTAGACTATTTCTCCCCAAAGCAAGTAATAACGATAGCGAACACACAGCCAAAAACCACATACACATTTATTACAAAAACCAAATGCATATTAATTACAAACAAGACGAATCTTCTCTAAGGCATATTATAAAGAAATATACTACCCCAATTGATCCGAATAAAAAAATCAAATTTATTATCTATTATAAAAAATTTAAGACAGCCAACCTTATCCTCAAAAATAACAACACAGCAGCTAAGTCAAAATTACAAAGAACGAACATTATCTATGAGTTCAAATGCCCCTTAAGGAACTGCGTTGCTGATCAAACCGGACTCATAAATAATTACATCGGTTACACAACCACATATTTATTCAGACGTCTTACGTTTCACCTATCTGATCACAGATCCATTAGAACCCATTTAAACACACACACACAAATTTACCAGACTCCATTAAGAACATACTAGTACAAAACACAAATATATTAACTGCACCCACCTGCAAAAAAAGACTAAAAATGATGGAAGCTTTAATAATAAGAAAGAAAAAGCCAACTCTTAACAATATTAACTACGGACAAAGCCACAATGTGCTAACTGTATTCGGAAATTAAAAACATCTCTACCACACACTAATACATACACAGAACACACACACTCAATTAAGCTGAAAAATCGAATCATCCTTGATAATGGCTGAAAGCGCTTAGAAATATAAAACATTTGGACAGTTCTTACACACCCTTTGTCCAGAAACGAAAACTCTTGCCAGAACACAAGAAAAATTAAATAAAAAGCTTAACCGTAGTACCTTGTCTGTCGTTTTTAATGAAACATGCATAAAGGAAGGATTGCTGTGCCTAAATATATAACTATTAAATATATATATATAGAGAGAGAGATTTGGATAATCATTTTTAATTCATTGATGCAGAAAGGACTAGCAGGCCGTTTCGTCCTATTTTGGGGATTTATCAGCAGGGTGTAACCACTAACGAGAATCGAACCTGAACCGTGCTGATGTGACGCAAGCGTCATATTCACTGGACCATTGGGTCTCGGGGACGGAGTTTGGTTTGTTACCCTCTCTGTCAACTTCTTTATTTTTTTTTCATTTTTTTTTCATTCCTTCTTTCTTTCTTTTTTTCTTTTTTTCTTTCTTTCTTTCTTTTGATAATTCATTTCGTTCTTCCTTCTCTTACTCTTTCCCCCTCTTTCTTGCTGCTGCTTCATTTTACTTCGCATTACTTGTTTCTACTTTTACAGTTTTCTTCTCATGATTTTTTGTTGTTTTTGTTTTCCTTCTTCCCCTTCTTCCTTTTCCTACTCATTTTCTCTCTACCACTCTTCTCCTCCTCCTTCTCCTCTTCCTCCTTCTCCCCCTCCTCCTCCTCCCCCTCCTCCTTCTACACAGTTTTTTTGTCATTAAGTATCTATCTCCCTATCTTTGTTTCTTTTGTTTCATCAATTGTTTTCAACCGCCCCCCCCTTCTCCGTGTTTCTTTTCATTAATACATTTTTCTTTCTTTTCTTTTTATTATTTTTTCGGCAAATATCTTATTTCTTTCTTCTGTTCAACAATAATAAATCCTTGAAACAATAATCTTCAGTCGAGATCAACAGCATTATTCAAATTCTAGCCTCTAGCGTCAGGGCACGGGAACTTTGCTTAGAAAACTGTTCTTTCTTTCTTTCTTTCTTTCTTTCTTTCTTTCTTTTTCTTTCTTTCTTTCTTATTCAGTGTTCTTTCTTTCTTTCTTAATCAGTAAATTGTTTCTTTCTTTCTTTCTGACTTATTCAGGGAAATTTTTCTTTCCCATTCAGTAAATTTTTTCTTTATTATTCCGGGAAATATTTCTTTCTTTCTTTCTTTCTTTCTTTCTTTCTTTCTTTCTTTCTTTCTTTCTTTCTTTCTCATTTTTGTGACGCTTCTATTTTATTTTTTTTCCCTTCAATAACTATGCCTATTGCCTTTTGGTTATTCAAAGACAATAATAAAAATTATAATGAATGAATATAACAAAATTTTCACTTTAAAAAAACATATTGAATATGGCAACAAATTGTAGCAATAAACATACCCACCCTCTCAGCTTATACAGACCAGGCACATAACCCCACGTCGCGTCTTTATTTACGTTTGCGTCGTTGTGAACAACTTGGAAAGTCTGAAAAAGTTTTTCATAAGGGGAACGAAAGGTGAAAATAAACACGAAGGCAAGTAACGAAAATACAAATCTTGTTTCCCGTATATTCAGTGTTTTTATTTCAAGGATTCTTTTGCACCACATGAGTGGGTAGGTCGGGAACGATTGGGACAACCAGCTTCTACCATGTCAGTCTAGCAGATCAGCTTTTTTCCTTCAACCATGAGAAATCTGACACTACCCTAGCAAAATTTTACCCATCACAACACACTGTCGGCAGTTCTAACGGGCAGTATCGGAACTATTTCGATCAACAAGCTTTCCCCCGGCAACGTACGGTCTATTACTAATCTCAGTCTTAATTGTGTTTATATAAGCATGCAAACGGAAATATCCAATATCAGGTTAAGTATCACTTGACCCCAACAGTTTTCATTTATTTCCTTTTGGTCAAGTGAATGATCGCTCAGAAGATCAAACTTCGTAGACTCCATTGCAGATCATAAAAAAAACCCTCAAAAGACTTGATTGAGATAAAATCATTTACCATCATCTTCCATGTGAGTGTCCCGATCAAAATTGTAGTGTCAAACAGTGACTAGAAAAGAAAAATAAATCACGGTAGTATTTTGGCGACGATTTCATTTTAATTGAGCATTGTTAAAAGTCACCGCCAAAGCATCCCATTTACTTCTTCATGTGTAGTAAATAATGTGGTCCTTTGCGTCTAGAGGACGGAAATCTCACGCTCTGGGGACGCGTGTCTCAAAACGAGACGTATTTTTTTTAATCATTTCACTCCAAGCAAGGCGGGAATGCCACTAGTATGCAGGGGGTTACAGAGAATGAAAGTGAGAGAAAAGACTGGGTATCGCGGGGGGAGTTATTGAGGAAAGGGTAAAAGTTGAACAGGATTCAAGAAGACAGAAGATGGCGACTGACATTGCATTTAAATTTTTGTAGTTATCAGTAAGTAAATGGAAGGGAGTTCCACACGCGGGAAATGTGAGAAAAGAAACTGTTGGAGAAGAAGTGGCGGTTACATTTAACTATGTTGATAGTAAAATGGCGGGACCTAGATGCCAATCTAGTAGCACGCTTAAATGCATGTAGTCAGGGCACCAGGGGAAAAAAGCTCCTCAGAGCAGTTGCCATGAAAATATTTGTAGAAAAGGCAGAGGGAAGACACGTTACGTAGGTGAGAAAGTGACTGAAGTCGAGCGAGGTGTAAAGTATAGCAAATAATATTATCATAAGCACGTATTGAAAATAAAGAAAGAAATGCATTGTCTGTTGGTAAGAATTAATAAAAGCATTTATGAGAGTTAAGATAGGTAATAAGGTAAATGGCTTCAATGCTATAAGATGAAGAGATTATCGTGTTATTACGTTTCGATGGGAGCTTGGCTCAAATGTTTCAAGATGAAAAGATTAACGTATTATTAATATGGTTCAATGTGGAGGCTGGCTCAAATGTTACAAGATGCATAGATTAACGTGTTATTACTATGTTTCAATGTGGGAACCTGGTTCAAATATTATAAGATAAGGAGTGTAACGTGTTATTACTATGTTTCAATGGAAGTTTGGCTCAAATGTTTCAAGATGAAAAGATTAACGTGTTAATTATGTGGTTCAATGTCGGGCCTGTCTCAAATGTTACAAGATGAATGGATTAACGTGTTATTACTATGGTTCAATGTGGGAGCCTGGCTCAAATACTACAAGATAAAGAGTGGAAAATATTATTACTATAATTCAATGGGAATCCTGGCTCAAATGTTACAAGATGAAGAGATTAACGTGATATGACTATCATTCAACATAGAGCTATAAGTTAAAGCTATTTAGGTTCAGCTGCACTGGCTCAGTAGTGAATTTAGTTCAAATGCTACAAGATAAAGTGTTTCACGTTTCATTTCATTGTATCAGTGATGTGTCTAGCTGAAATGCTACAAGTTAAATAGATTCACGATTTATTACAATTGTTCAATGGGGAGCCCCGCTCAAATGATCCAAGATTAAGAGATTAACGTTTAATTCCAATGGCTCAGTGTTGAGTTTGAGTCAGTGATACAATTTGAAAACATTCACATTTAATTACACTGACTCAATGTTAGGGCTGCCTTAAACGATCCTTCTTTAGTCACTGAATGCCATTTGGGGATGCCATTATATGATATCATATTGTTGACAAAAAATGACGAACAGCATGTGTAAATTTTTTAGAGTCTTGTGGGTGGTCCATGAATATTCAATGAGATTTGGGGGCGTCATTGGCGCAAAATGAATAAAAGAAAGAAAAAAAAATGCAGTGACTATGTATGCTTTCGGTGTTTACGGGTCTGTTTAACAAACAATCTGCTCACTTTCGTGTTATCTTTTACTTCTATACGAAAGCATGAACTGCAATCAATAAAACGTGCAGGAAATATTTTGGAAAATGCATTGAATAATGGAAATATTTGATCCAGGAACTAATAGAAAATAAAAGAAAAAAGATGTGAGTTTTCATTCCTCTTCTGAAATATTCGTCGATTCATAGATAAAGATAGATGTATCATAGGAATTTTCATGTTTATATTACTAAACTAACCCAAAACAAAATATATACTCTAATTCTTGATCATACTTCTATAACGCATTCACTCAACTAATCCGACTGTAGATTCATAAAGCATCTATTAAAAACCAATACTACAATAGAAACGAGATGGCTACTGCAACCAACCCACGAGAGATACTTATAAAACACACAAAAATACCACTAGGTTGAATCATATGTAATTTCCGCTTAGGGGAATCAATTTCAATGATGAATGTATTAGCTTTAAGTGATGGAAAATAGGTTGCATACAACAATGTTTAACGCAAAAGGCAGAGAATTGACAAGGACAAATCTCCACAACCGATACCAAAAGCTGAGCTTCATGGAAGAAAGGTATGTATAGTAGGGTGGTCTATGTTTTACTCATTTAGAGTAATTAAAACTCAACGGAACACTGAATTCACATTTATATATTTAGCATCTGTAACATGCCCGTAATACTTTGGTCGAAAAGCGCTCAGCACTCGTAAGTAGGGAAAATATTTTTATCTCATCCATGATAACACAACGCGGCACACGGCAAAAATAATACTTTTTCAAAAAAATCATTTCACCCCAAGCAAGGTAGTAAAGCCACTACGACACAAGGGGTTACAGGGTGTGGAAGAACTAGAAAACAGAAACATTATTAAGCAGCTAGAACCAAAGAAGAGTAATCAGGAGGACAATAGATAGCGGTTGACATTGCATTTAAATTATTGAAGATTAAAGTTGGCTGGAAAGCATGGAACTGGGAGGGAGTCCTACAAGCGAGAAGTACGAGAAAAGAAACTGTTAACATAGAACTAACCAACTCAACTGAATGATTGATGAAACCCAATAACCAGTCAAGTACTGTAGTTAAATTCGTAAAAAATCTATGTACCATATCGAAGAGCTCATCCGAACAATTAAAATAAAAGTATTTATAGAAAAGACAAAAGGAGGCAACTTTACGGCAGTTGGAAAGAGACTATAGACGAGATGCCAGATTAGGGACTAATAATATTGCTGATTATTCTTTGGATCTTATCAAGGCGCTCAAGGTAGTCGAACTTCTTGAAACCTGTTCTTTCTCCTCACTAACGTGTTCTCATTTTAATTAACACCCAGTAACCCCTGCTGTCTTAGTGGTATTATCGTCTTGCTTTGAATGAAATGAACACACACGCACACACACACACACACACACACACACACACATATATATATATATATATATATATATCAGTAAAAGCAAAAGGAAAGCTTTATTTACACGACGTGTTTCGCCATCTGGTATTTGTCCACCAGTGGACGAAACGCGCCGGTTAAGAAAATTTTTCCTTTTGTCTTTATTTTTATTGTCTTATTACAGATATATTTAGAGATGCACACACATACGCACACTCATACACTAACGCACACACATGTACGCACGCACGCACGTACATATGGAAAATTCAGATATAACTAAAAAAGGTGTAAAAAGACGTTACTTGGTTTCAGTAATAAAGAAAGAAAGAAAGAAAGAAAGAAAGATAGAAATGTTTAACGTCTGTTTCAGTGAAATGGAAAAAGTTGTCAATTTCAGATGTTTTCATGATTTTTATTGCAATATTTTGCTAAAAATTAACGATGCGATATGGGGAATATCTACCGATATTTTATTGTCGTAGAACTCGCCATGAGATTTATTCAGTCAGTAACTTAAGAATTAAGATCCATCAGAAAGTTTAAAGAGGAAAACCGTGAAATTTCCATGGCTTTTCTTGTTAAAATATAAAATGGCCGACGTCTGAGTCTGTTCTCAGGAATCGGTTTCTTGCTTGAATCTTCCGTTAACGAACTGTATTTTTCTCTTCATTTGAAAAAAAAAGTGCATTGTCTCTCGGGGTGCGAAGAGATTCAAATTAAGTAATAATAATTGAAACTGTCGTTTTTCGAAATAAAAAAATATATATTGTCAAAACAATCCGAAAAAATAATTTATTCACATGAGCACACACCCATTGCAAATTTTAGTGTTTCATACATTTGCATGTTTGCACCAGATGTTTGGTTGTTATCGCTGGAACTTGAGTGACAGAAAACCTCTAAAAAGTCTCCAACACCTTTCTCAGTATATATGCAGACCCCAGCATTGCCAATGTTTGTTCATTGTCTAATTATTCCTTGAATTTCTAGTTTACAATTTTTTTTTAAGTCCCATGCGAGGTGCTGGTATTTTCCAATTTTCATTTTCTTTCGTCTTCACTCATTGGTCCGCTGACATGTCTACGCTCACTATCTAGCGGGAACTCTTTTTACGACTATAAAATACGTTCTAGCTTGGATTTAGTGGACACTCTGGGTCTCAAAGAGACAGATTTCTTCTTCTTATACTTCTTTCTTTCTTACTCTTTTTCTCATTACTAATTCTCTTTTTTCTTCTTTCTTTCTTTCTTTCTTTCTTTCTTTCTTTCTTTTCTTTCTTTCTTTTCCTTCTACTCTTTTTTCATTACTCTTCTTCTTCTTTCTTTCTTTCTTTCCAACTCCTTTTCTCATTACTAATTTTCTTCTACTTCATCTTCTTTTTCTAATATTTTTACTTTCTTTTTTTTCCTCCTACTCCTTTTGTCATTACTATTCTTTTAATACTTCTTTCTTTCTTTCTTTCTTTCTTTCTTTCTACTCGTTTTCTCATTACTACTTCTTCTAATACTTCTTTTTCTTTCTTTTCTTTTTCCTACTACTTTTCTCATTATAATTTTCTTCTTCTTCTTCTAATATTCTTTCATTTTTTCTTTTACTTTTACTCTTTTTCATTACTCTTTTTTTCTTCTTCTTCTTCTTCTTTCTTTTTTTCTTTCTTTACCTTCTGCTTTTTTTCTCATTACACGTTCTTCTGATTCTTCATTGGGCTTTCACGCAAATATTAACTGGTAGACTGTTGACCATCCTGGCACCCATTATGAGAAAGGGTGACTTGGTGAATGTAATACTTGCTAGACGTATTGAAGTGAAGGCTGGGTAAATGGTAACAGCGAGTAACTTACCTAATAAGTTTGTGTCAATGGATGGAAGACAAGTGACAAAGATGGATAGTAGAAAGGCAAACGTTGACTAGAGCTACGAAGGACAAGAAGTCGTGGAGAGTCATGATCGCCAATGTCTTAAAAGGACACGGCATTGGAGATGATGATGATGATGATGATAAAGGCAGTTTTTACTGAAGGTAAAGTGACATCAAGTCTCCGTAAATATCCCTGCCCCCTCTCCAGTATTCTAGCTATAAGTGCAGCTGTTGTTCATATGGCTTCAGTTGCTTCTTATGACTCCTAACAGGGAAGGTATTGGGAACTGTGATGCAAATAGATGATTATGCACTGATTTACGCAGACTAATATCTTTATCTTGATTGTTACGGTTGTTTACATGGTTCAAAGTAAATCAGTGGATAATTATTATATTTCCTCAGGCAGATATATGAATTTAAACAGCTAAGCAGTAGAGGAACATTTATATACAGAGAACTGTGCAAACGACTTGGGTCCGATCATGTATACAAATTTAATATAAAATAGACACGACATGGGGTTGGTCATATATACAACTGGGTAGGGACAATAATACACTGGGAACAGTGCAAACGACTTGGGTTCGAGCATGTATATAAATTGAATGTAAAGACAGACCTGACTGGGTAGGAATAGGTATACATATGGAACAGTACAAACAACGTAGGTTCGCTTATGTATACAAATAGCATCAGTACTAATCGGAGAATGTTCTGGAAAAAGAAAATAATAAACTGATCTAGGATTTTTACATCAAGACAAATCATTGCATTCAGATCAGAGGGACGAACCTTATATTCGTGAATAAAGAAAATAAAAGGCACTTGTAACGTCGTGAAATTTTCTCTGTACAATGTACGATAGTTAATTGTGGAGGAAAGTGAAAAATTAGAAAACTACAAGAACTTTGTCCGGGAGCTGTGATAGGTTTGGAATAAGATGATTAGAATAGCGCCCATAACTGTCTATGCATTTGAAGACATGTGTAGTTGAGATTGTACAGACTGTGGTGTGGCTGTGGACTGCAAGAAATACCGAGGAAGGTGCTGGAAATTTGGAAGGGTTGCTGTCACTCAGTCTTCAGAGACGACCACCAAACATCTGTGAAACATGTGAACATGAAATAATAATAATAATAACAATAATAATAATAATAATAATAATAAGAGCGTTTTCTCCCCTTTAAGAAATAAGAACTTTCGTGTTTTTGGGTCGATAGGCTTACCGGATAAAACCATCTTGGGACAAGTGTCCGTTTTTGTTGGGCTTTTTTTTTCTCGAATCTAATGAAGCAAGAGCTCGGTTTGTTAACATTACTGGCAGGTGCAAAGTCGAGGCACACGTGCGATTCAATGCAGTTTTGTAGGTAGACATCTTTTTACATGCACCTGTTTAGGTCGGTGCCCTATATAGGATAAAGCATAATCACCATTATCTATCTATCTATCTATCTATCTATCTATCTATCTATCTATCTATCTATATATGTGTGTATGTGTGTGTGTTTGGTTGAAAGAGATTCTCACCATACACCTCGTCCCCTGTGACAAATACACAATGAAGCAACAGATTAACTTGCCAAGTCAAATAACTATATGCAGACACACACGCGTATATATATATATATATATATATATATATATATATATATATATATATATATATATATATACATTGTACTTTCTTTACGGTAATGTTCATACTTTACAAGGTCCGGGGGTCACTCAAGGCAGAGGCTACGTTATGGCAATTTGTACTGATTGGAGTGTAAGATAACGGTTAACACGAGCTTTGAACAGGTTAAAATTGTAGTGAATGGGGGGAAACATCCTCTTCGGAGTCCTTCCTCAGAGCATGGTTCGCGTGGAGATGTTAACAATACATACATACATACATATATATATATATATATATATATATATATATATATATATATATATATATATATATATATATATGGGAGTGAATTAAAACTTGCTGGAAAATTTAAACTAAACTACCATGGCACCAAATCATGTCAAAGAGTAATACTATCAATTAATAATATTTTTTCTTTTGGAACATATATTCAGAGTTGAGTTTGCATGAACTTTTAACCCACCTAACGATTGTGAGATCCTTCATCCATCTAAAAAAAAAAAAAAAAAAAATAAAAAATACGAAATCAAAAAACGCGTGAGTACATTATAATTTAAATCGCTGGAAGACACCAACATATAAGTAGCCATTTGTAGCGTGTTTGTCAATACTTATATAAAGTGATATATATATATATATATATATATATATATATATAACCCCTTGTATATATATATATATAACCCTTATATATATATATATATATATATATATATATATATATATATATATATATATATATATATAACCCTTTTTATTCCTTTTTAAATTTAAATTAATATTTCATTCCTTATATAACTCCACATTAATGTCATAAGGTCAATATCCGGGTTTAATTATATAAAATTTCATTCCTTTAAAACAAATACCTTGCACCCTCTTCTGACCCCCAAATTCCGTGCCCCTTTCGTCTGATTTGAAACATTGAAATGCGGAAATTCAAGTATTAGTTTTTCGACTACTTTTTTTTAGTTTTCACGGTTAATTTCTATTTCTTACACGAATTAAGTCCACACCGGGGTTGATAAGACAGACGACCGATATCTTCGTCACCCGAAATATGAGGTGATTTTGGATTTAATTGTTTTTATGCACACACACACACACACACACACACACACACACACACACACACACACACACACACACACACACATATATATATATATATAGATATAGATATGCATTTGGGCAGCAACTTTTCTTTCAAGCATGTTTCATTGAGAACGACCGACAAGAAAGATTTAATTAAGTTTTTATTGAGTTTTTCTATCATTATAACATTTCTTTTCGTTTTACAGGGGTTAAAGAATATAGGAATTTTCCATAGTAATAACTGTTCGGCTAGTTCTCTAGTTTGGAAGTTGAATTTCTGAATGTTGGATTCTGCATAGTGGTTTGGCTGCGTGGTGTACGTACAACGGAGGTTATATGCTTCTTTGACGGTCACGTGCTAAGCGTGGCCGTTTGACCGTATTTTTTAGAAAACTTTTAACAGCTAAATAGTGTACGATTGATTGCGGGCGAATAATATTTAATAAGCAATGCTTTCCTAATGATGAGTTGTGTACGGCTATGTGATTTGAAAAAAATCTTTGTGTTGACGACTAGAATTTTTCTTAAAGGTTCTTGTAAATTATGAGTTAATAAATGTTTCTGCTTCGAAAGATTCCATGTAAGACGTCTACTTAAGGAGGTAGTGATGCGTCCGATATAGGTCATTGGTTTTTGACATGTAGCACAGTCTTGTACTGGGCATTAGAATTGGTACATTATATTGGTTACCGCTAGTTTAGATTTAGTGGGGTTATTTCGGATGGGGACGACGAGATTTGCAGTCTTCCATTTTCTATAACATATTATGAACTTTATATGTTTTCCGTTGGTTACAACAGAAATATAGTGTTTAATGATTTTCCTCGTAGCAGATTCATCCTGGATATAATTATTGTACATCTGTTTGCAATAAAAGATGTTGATGTTTTGTGGTGTTGTATTTTTTGCTATTGGCGTCGTGTATTTTTTTGTAAGAATAAATTTATTTGCTTATCAATGATGTAGTTGAGAAAATTATTGTTGACTAGTCTTTGTTTCATACGCTTAAATTCGCTTAGAAATATTCTTTGGGGAGAGGAATTTTGGTATGTTCTATTTAAGAAGTTTGTTATCACTGCTATTTTATATCTATCTGGGCATTGACTATCAGTTTAGAAAACAAGATTGTGTACTAGTGGGTTTTTTTTTATACGGGTAAGTGGTAAATTCGTTGGATTTTAACTCTATCTCGACGACGAGGAATATTGTCCTCTGTAAATTAAGCCAGTGTGAACTTTAGCATAGTTGGGCGTGTCTCTGTTTGGCAGGAAGGAAACTAGACAGCATATATGAATCCAACCTATGTCTCACTGATACTGAGAATGCTGACGTCTGTGTGGATCGTGTTGCTGGGAATGAACCGATCTTGTTGTCATAGGGACCGCCATTATTCTTTGTTGTCCAAGTTTGGGAGGAAAAAGTCTGTCCTGTATCTCTCTAGGGTATGTACTTCCTAAAAAGGTTGTAGAATAAACGTTCTGTATCTGTCTATATTTCTGAGATGAGGTATCATGTATACTATTTACATTATTCGCACTATTGTCCTCATCTTTGTCGCTATATTTATTACAACGTTTCGGCCGTTGTACGCTTTCGCCTTCTTCAGGTGGTTGGAATATCGAACTGAACCCTTTATTTCGCTCACTGGTTCACTCTAGTTCCACATGCCATATTTTAATGGATGTCAGTTATCAGTTATCTCCTGTTAATTCCCCTTAACCGGGTATTGAACTCACACTCTTTGGTTCCTGTCACTGGATCTAACCAACACCTTTATCCACTGTGCCATGTGTCCTAATATAAACCTACTGTTTTCAGCAACCATTTTTACCAGTGCTCATATTGCAATTTTTCCTGTTATCATTGCATGTTTTTACCAGAGCTCATATTGCAATTTTCATTGTTATTATTATTGCTTTTCTCTGGCACTCCTTATTACTGGTTCCCATATTGTATTCATTTCTATGCTTGGTCGGCTCAGGAGATTTTTGTGGCCTAGCATATGTGCTGATTCCTTAAGTTTACGAATTTTCCAATGGTGTTCTTTGTCTATGATGTCAACCTGATCCCACAGAGGGCGGTGATCTCCCTTTTCTCTCCATATGTTCTGTTAGACAATATAAACAATATATATATATATGAATTTATTTTTTCTGGGAAAGAGAATGTTTTGTTTTTAATTATAGTATAGCGGTTCGTAACTTCTGGATAATTAACAAAATATGAGGATAAATTCGGGGTTGAGTTGGGTAATGAATGCATTTTTATGTATAACCCGAAATATTATGTATGTTATTGGCAACTAAATTTGTATAAACGGGAATTTTACTGTCAAAATCGTGTGCTATTTGTAAGAAAAAAGAATGGAGAGAATGATATGCGTTCAGTGCAAAAGATAATTTCTGCAAAGGGTTTTAATTCTCCTGTTGCCATTTCTTATCACATAATTGTATGAAAAGTGGTTTTTGACGACAATATGAAGCATGAAAAATAAATGCTGAACTCGTTTCCACGTCGTCCCAAACTTGCAGCTGTGATACTGTCAAAAACAAATCCATGCATTGAGTGTTGTCTTGAGCTATAATACTTTCAACCACAACTCATTTCCTGTTTCCTTAGAATGTTACAGACTATACAATACTTTTAACATCTTCATTCTATCTGGAATATGTTTTTTATTATTGAAATAATAAAATAACAATAAAATAATAACACCTTTTGGTATATGTAAAATTATATAATTTAACGTCTGTCAAGGGGAATGGAATTGTTGAAAATAAAGTTCTCAATAGCTATCTAGAGCAATGATTGATAATGTTAATGGTAATATTAGATGTTTCTTTATAAAGAAACATTCGGCGTTCATTGACCGAGCAGCCAATGTTACTGACGCTTGAAACTTATAAAATCTTTATATTAAAACAATTTATTAGGAAAATCATTTTCTCAAGTCTAGTAACTGTTCTTTCTTTTGATTGGATCTTCTTTCCTAACAATTTTGTTCGAAATAGTGGATCCTGAAGAGTGAAGCATCGTAAAACTCTCAGCCTGTCTTTGATAAACTATTGCGAACTTTCAATATTTTTGATACAATATTAATCGTTGAAATAATATAAAGAAAGGAAAACTACACCAGATTGAAATATGTGAATTTTGGCATCTGTTCGACATTGATGTCTGCGACATTCTCCAGGTTCCTAACTCTGCAACAAGGTCTCCCGTCTATCATCGAATCAATGAAAACGATCCTTTCTTTAGCTGCATAGTATGTGCTTCGTCAGGGTTACATACAGTTTTGAATTCGGAGTTTTCCCTCTCCTAGATCAGTTGTCACGCAATCTATCGTGTTATTTACCCATAGATGGTGGGGAGAAAAGATGGATTCATACCTTTCTCCATTGTATCAACACGTAAGTGAATTTAATGAACTCGACTGGAATTCGAACTCGGCTCTCTGATACATCAATCCGAGCCGCAATCCATTGTCCCACCGTGTCTCCCATCTATTACTTGTGCTTCAATCCAGGGGGCGGGTTAATGCTGATGAGGACCGTGTAAAATGTTGAACAAAATAAAAGAAACAAAGTAAATTCACTAGTCCAAACAACTACTCGAATGGTGATAACTTCATTTCAAATTTAGAGACATTAATGGTAATAACCAAAAATGCCTTCCAGAAAATAAGCAAAGTATTAAGTATTATGAAGGATTTTGTTAGAAAGAAAGAGAAGAGTACTGAAATGTTACGTGATATCTGTTCTCCTATATGGCCGTGAAAGCTGACAATCCCCTCAAAGATGAGGAAGAGACTTGAAGCAAGAGAAGTGTGGTTCTACAACAGAACGATGAGGATACCGTGGACTGAACATGTAGAAACGACGAAGTTGTAGAAAAAAAGGAAACAAAAAAAAATTCCCCAAAAAGAAAATTAGAAATTTCTAGGACACATAATGAAGAAAGAGAACTTGGAACAATTTGATACGGACAGGACAAATTGAAGGCCAGACGATCAAAAGAAAACAACGCATAACATACTTAGTGAGCTTGAGTAAATGATTGACTTTATTATAGAGGTGGGCTTAATGTAGATGAGGGTCGTCTAAAACGTTATGCTAAGAACAAAAACTAACAAATAAAATGAATTCAATAGTCCAAACAACTCTTGGAATGGTGAAAACTTCAATTCAAATTTAGAGACATTAATGCTTATAATGGAGACAACTGTCACCATGCAGAAAACGTTTGGCATTCATTGCCCGAAAAATATTACTTTCGGTTGAATTTTATAAAGTTTTTACTTCTCAAGACCATTGTTATCATTCTTTCTATTATTGATCGGCGTTTTTTTTTCTTTTTCTTTTAAGAATTTCACCCCAAGTGGCACACAAGTAACTACAGAGCGTGAGAGTAAGGGTAAAGAGCGATATTTGAAGAAACGATAAAGAGAAGGATGGGGATCAAGATCAAGGGATCAGAAGATGTCGATTGACATTACATTTGAATATTTGAAGATTATAGCTATCAGGAGAAGCAAGTGATAGGAAGGGAGTTCCACTGTCGAGTAGTGCGAGAGAAGAAGCTGTTTGAGTAGAAGAGGCGGTTACATTTAACTGTTTCGAAAGTAAAAGGGTGGGAACGAGATGCCAACCTAGTAGCACGTTTAAATTTATGCAGTTTGGGAACGTGAAAGTAGCTCGCCAGAGAAGTTCCTATGAAAATATTTGTAGAAAGGCAAGGAGGGAAGCCACGCCACGTCTGTGAGAATGTGACTGTAGACGAGAGGCCAGATCCAGACCGATCACATTGCATATCTATCTCTGTATTTTGTCGAGGGCTTCGTTTCCTTCCAAACTTTTTGTTTTTGGTCATGTAGAAAGTCAGCATCTTGCTTGTATTATTATCTTCTGGTTAAAAATGCTACCTGTTCATCTTGTTGCATTCGGAAGTGTTCAAGTGATGTAGTTTTTGTTATTTGTTATAAATCTTTGTGATTTTGCAGCATCGCTTTATCGGGTTTGATGACGAACCGCCTTAAAGATTTATTAATTCGTTTAAAGCCATTTTAATCATTGACCTAAGAAAATAGTTGCAAATAGAAGATAGTTTAGATAGTGAGTTGAACGCCATGCATAACAACCTGATTGGTGTAATCTTTAGCAAGCTTCTTTCGCCAGAAAAGTTACGACTACTTAAGTAGTGAGTTCGATCCTAATTGGGTGTGTTATGCTTTCAGCCTTGTGCGACATATAAGCTAGGCTTAGAAATCAACATGGCATCCATACGAAAGTTATGGACAGACGAAGCTATTTAGGAACGTGACTCGTGTTTTCAAGTCAATATTTTCGCAAAACGGGCGACAATAGGGTTCATGCCTCAAATGAACAAAGGGCATTTACGTGTGTATAGTTTTTCTAGAGAATATTACTGTAAATAGTTCGCTGGAGAGAGTAAAAGAACTTAATCGAGAGACTAAAAACTGTTGTCCGGTAAGAGTAAAGGAGTTCACGAGAGAGAGAGAGAGAGAGAGAGAGAGAGAGAGAGAGAGAGAGAGAGAGAGCTAAAATAGGCAAAAGCGTTAATGTATTAGTTTACTTGTGGCGGTAAAGGATCTCACATGAGAAAGTAAAAAATATGAAACCAGAAATTAAAAGAGTTCATTGGAGAATATAAATAAAAAAAAACTTAAGAGAAATAGATAAGTAGTAACAAAAGGAATTGTTAAAGGTTAGTAATTATATTTATATATAGGTATTTCTATGTGTAAAACTTCAGATATAAATAAAATATATCCGTAAAAAGACAATATGAATTAAGATTTTTTTTATTCATATTTATATACTTCTCAAAAAATATTTCAAGAGGGGGGCAATGTTGCCGGCGTGAGAGTAAAAGTAGGAGCTCGGGCGGTTACTTAAATTTTTTCAAACCTAACCCAATTTTATTCCAAGCACCTGTCTGTCCGTTTATTCAAACCCGTACCTCTTGTAAACGGAATAGACGAGCCTGCCCGGCTATTTAAATATTGATTTTCTTCCAGCCTGGCTACTATTATTCCAGACTCCGCTGTTTATTTAAACGTCCTTGCACTCTTTTTGTTCCGGAAACAAATGAATTTTGAATGAATTTTTCAAACCTTTTATTTCAATGTACACTTCCATTCCAGATTTAAGAGTATATATGACATGTAATATTATCATGTATGCGCTTGGCGAGACAATATGGCTGATCTTTCTGACTTGAGGAATGGTGTGGACGCAGGCAATCTTTCACTTTACTTCTAAGAAAGAAAAAAGAATGAACGAAAGAAAGAAAGAATGAACGAAAGAAAGAAAGAATATTAAAGGGAAAGGTCGAGAAAGAAAGAAAGAAAGAAAGAACAATAACGGGAAAGATCGAAAAAGAAAGAAAGAATAATAAGGGAAAGACCGGAAAAGAAAGAAAGAAGGAAAGAAAGAACAATAAAGGGAAAAACTGAGAAAGAAAGAAAAACAAAGAAAGAAAAACAAAGAAAGAAAGAACAATAAAGGGAAAAGTTGAGAGAAAAGAAGAAAGAAAAAACAATAAAGGGAAGGTCGAGTAAGAAAGAAAGAAAGAACAATAAAGAGAAAGGTAGAAGAAGAAAGCAAGCAAGAAAGAAAGAACAATAAAGGGAAAAGTTGAGAAATAAAGAACAAAAAAGAGAAAGGTTGATGAAAAAAGAAAGAACGAACGATAAAGTGAAAAGTCAAGAAAGAAAGAAAGAAAAAAGAAAGAAAAGAAATTCTCACAAGAGACATAGCTATGGATGACCAATAAGATAAAAATTAGCAGCATAATCGGAATTTCCGGTACTTTTTCAAGGCGGATTTTTTTTCGGTAAATTTCCTCTTATTAATTTGTATTCTCTCTTTTTTCTTCTCTTTCTCGCTCTGAATATCCTAATAATAATAATTCCATGTCTATAGGCAATCAACTAATCAATAGAGAATAAAGCCTTTATAATTATTTAATGGGCTTTGAGAAAATTGCCTGAATCAGTGTCTCGTACTATTTTGTTAATATTAGTCTTCATCAAGTCGGCTGCAGCCTTTATTGTGTCCCAAATAAACGTATCAATGGATTTTTTCTTTTCTTTTGTTACTTTTTTCTTTTGATTTCCTCTCTCTATCTTGTAGGGAAGCCAGTTTACATTATATGTCATGCTGTGGCGTGTTCGATAATGTTTTATTGAGTTACAAAGGCATCGGGCGTGGATATGTGGGTGTCTGCGTGAGCGGAAGTTAGGTTGGTTGCACATAGAGGCTTTTGATTAGATAGATAGATAGATAGATAGATAGATAGATAGATAGATAGATAGATTCTATTATGTAAGTCAATGTTATTTATAATAAAATTGGCGTTATCCAACCGATCTTTGAAATATTTTCAGGATATACGATGTAAGTCCGGCTTTTATTAACGATCTACCGAAGAACATTCTCAAATAAGCCTGGCGGATGATCTCCCTTCTGACCGATCTCTAACAGCCCGATGGCGGGAAAACTGGCTTGTAACTTTCAATATCTCAAAAACCAAGCTTGTATCTTTTCATCATCGCCGAGTTTGTCCTGAATTCTCACCTGCCACGATGAATAGTTGTATACTTAATGAGGCGTCTCGCTTTGAATGTCTATTGGGAATCAAGTTCACCCGGATCTTAAGTGGAATACATATATACGATCCACTAATAAAGATGCTGGAAGAATAGACCGCTCCTTATATTGTTCCAGAAAGTACCAGGCTCTTCCTGACATGCTCTACTATTACAAGAGTCAAATAAGATCAAAGAATGGAATGTTGCTGCCATATCTGGGCTGGGGCTGCCGTATGTATCCTCATTTTCCGACCATGATAATTCAAAATCGTTTACGTGTCTGATGAATTATGTTCAAACCTACAAGCCTTTCCTCACACGACGCAACATTGCAATGTTCTTGCTTCTCTATCACTAATTCCCTGAAAAGTGTTCTTACGACCTACATTCCTAAGTTTCACTACTTCAGATATATTTACAGCTAGGATATGTCATACCTACTTCAAAATCTAAGAAAGTTCTTCTCAACAACTGTCACTTTATGGAACAGACTCCTTCATGGTTGCTTTCCTAAAAATTAAAATCTTAATCTCGTCAAGTCAAGGGCCACTCATTATCTGCCCTCCTTATCTTGCTTTCTATCACTTACTCTTTCATTTCTATCACATTCATCATAATCATTTTAATAGTAACTATTTCCTTTGAGTAGCTCTCGGGTCTTGAATTGTGTGAATTTTAGTATAAAAAAGATATGTGACATATTATAGGATTATCAGATGCACAATCAGCATTTTTCTTTTGTTTACAATGATATTTTTCTGTTTCTTAAAACTTTTTTTAAACTTTGGGTAGGCATCTTTTTCCATCGTCTGTCTTACGTTCTAATACCCTTGGGAAAAGTATGCATCCTCTTCTTCTTCGCCCCTCCCAGGTATGGGTAAATAGCAGGACAGACCAGACTTGGATGACAACTGGTCTACTGCAGAAAGAAATGGCAACCTACTTCGGGAAAAAAAAATCTGCCTCGTCAGTCATGTATCGAAAGTCACATGATCGCCTAAGCGTGTATCACTCATGGCACATAACTGATTATACTCGTACACCTCTTTTCTACTGGATTAACATTTGATTTTAATACATTTATATTTCTGTACTTATTCTCCACCCATCAAACTCTTTGTCGCAAGCCTATCACTATTTCTACGGCAAATGTTCAAATGAGCGCCCCATTCTTTAGTTCCACCGGCTGAAAACTTTCCAACTAGGACAAGCCATACTACTTCCACATAGTTGAATCGTCCTCATTTCCTACCAAATGTAGGAAGAAAGTTCCACTTAGCTTTTTCCCAATAATTTTTAACATACGCCTGCTTAGATGCTTTTCTTAACATTAACCACTTCGAGTTAAGGGTCAACCGTTATCTATCCTACATATCCTCATAATCTGTATTTCTCGCTAATCCTCTTACATGTTTAAATCGACCTCATTCATTATATTTCTACTTTGAGTGGCTCTTGAGTCTTGTGCAAAAATTAAATAAATCCTTTGTAAGTATACTATTTATCGGATTTTATTAAACAAACTAAGATTTGAATATTTCTACTAAATATTATGATTGTTACACAGCGTTCTTGACTTGAAAATTGTTTTCCGTTCTCATAACTCGGAGGCACAGTGGAGTATGGATAGCGGCTTAGACTGATGAATCGGAGAGCCGAGTTCGAATTCCAGTTCGAATGCATTACTTTCACTTAAGTGTTAATACCCTTGGTAAAGGTATGGATCTTCTTCTTCGCCCCTCCAAACTATGGGGAAATAGCAGGACAACTGGTCTAACGCAGAAAAAAATGGCAACCTACTGCGGGAAAAAAATTGACTCATCAGTCATGTATCGAAAGATACATGATCGCCTAAACGTGTATCACGCATGGCACATAACTGACTATACTCGTACACCTTATTCTACTAGATTAACATTTGACTTTGTTTCATTAATTGGGTGTATGGTAAAGGTGGATTTTTTATTACTCAAAGAACGTTTACTCTAGAAATTTACAACAATTATCTACACTTGTTTTAATACTATTATTAACTTTTGTAGAGACCTATAATTTTACTGCCTAAAAAACAAATAAAGAATTAATTCAACTTACTACTGTTTTCTCCTAAGTTATTTGGGTTGACTATTTCCATGAATAATCAAACTTAGGTCAAACCAACAGGTTCATCCAATGTAGCTCTACATACATCACTGGAATTTATGTCTGACTATTTCCATGAACAATCAAACTTAGGTCAAACCAACAGGTTCATCCAGTGTAGCTCTACATTCATCACTGGAATTTATGTTTGATTATTTCCATGAATATTCAAACTTAGGTCAAACCAACAGGTTCATCAAATGTAGCTCTACATTCATCACTGGAATTCAAGGTTGACTATTTTCATGAATCATCAAACTTGCTTTAAAGCAACTGGTTCATCAAATGTAGCTCTACATTCCTCATTGGAATATATGGTTGACTATTTCCATGAATAATCAAACTTAGGTTAAACCAACAGCTTCATCCAATGTAGCTTTACATTCATCATTAGAATTTAAGTTAAGAAATCGGTTTTCATGTACTTCTTCATCCAACTTACACGTTTCTCTTTGTGATGCTTACTTAAAGTTGCTAGTCAATGTTTTTATAGTCGGTATCAATTATGTCTGTTTAAATTCGCAACGTCAGATTCTTGAAATGTTTTCTTTTTGATCAATCCACGTTTCATGCGGAAGATCCTCTTAATTTTTCTCAAATCCCCCCCCCAATCAAAGCATTAAACCCACTGAGACGCAAACGGTTACTGAGTGTTAGATAATATGTGAACAAAGTACTACTAAGGATCTAGAAAAAAAAGAATTAAGAAAACAAAAGATAACGATTGATATTGCATATAAATATTTGAAAATCAAAGTTGACTCTGAAGGAAGAAGTCAGAAGTGATTGCCACAGGCAAGAAGTGCGCTAGAAGAAACTCCTAGCATAGAACGTACGGTTACATCAAAGCCATGTCAGAAGTAAAATTCTAAAAATCAAATATTTGACGTGGACATGTTTCTGTTCACGGTTCACGAGTATTGATATATTTTGGATATTAAAATAATAAAAACAAACATTTTATTATATTTACGTTAGCACATTCATTTTGTAAACATGCTGTATTTTATTTTAAAATTAAAAAATAATCTAGACTATGTGTGAAAATTTTAGTAGACCTATTGTTTGCTAGTTTAATACTTGTACCTTCACTAATTCGTTCTGCGTAAGGTCTAAAATGCATTAAAAAACAACAACAAAAAAAAAGAAAAAAAAAAGGTTAGCATAGAACTTACAGTTACATCTAGCAGCCATTTCAGCAGTAAAATGCTGAGACCTTTCTGCCAATCTAGTACTGCGCTTAAATTCATAAAGTTTAGGTAACATAGAAGAAAGTTCATCAGAGCAAATATGGTAAACGTATTTATAGAAAAGGAACAGGAAAGCTACGTTTCGGCGGCGAGGAAGGGACTAAAGCTGAGATGCTAGATCAGGACTAATAACATTGCAAATTCTTCATTGAATTTTATCAAGAATTTCTAAATGTATAAGACTATTAGACCAGATGTGGCAGCAATATTCAAAGCATGGACGGATGGTAGAATTATAAATATGTAAGATAGATTCTGGATAGAAAAAATGTCTAGCACAACACAGTGAATCAACCTTCCTTGCAGTAAACCTAGCTATTGATTCAATTCACGTCAGTATTGTTTGTTAGTTTAATGCAAATACCTTCACTAATTCAGTATCTTTCTTTCTTTTTATATGTCATATCCTTTCAGGACGTAGGCGATCATAGCTCTCCACCACCTCCCTCTATCCCTTGCAGTTCTCAACAACTTCATTCACTCTTCTTCTTCCCACAGACCACTTTCTGTCATCCACTTGCTTAAGTCCGCCAGGTATGTCACGCGTTGTTTTCCCTTGTCTCTCTTTCCTTCTATTCGACCCGTGAGTATCAGATTCTCCATGCCCTCCTTCCTCATCATGTGTACCAGAAATTTCAACTGCTTCTTCCTGATATTAAGCATATGTTAGGATTAAAATGAATTTTTAAAAATGAAAAAGCTTTCTTGAAGTTTTCATTTTAGCTTTAAATGATAGCTAAAGGATTTAAAATTTACTATTTCTATTAATTAAAATGCTCTGTGGTATATTTCAAACAAAAATCATATTAATAAGAATCGATGTTTTGTCAATAAAATCGATAAAATGGCCATTTTTGACATATTTGTAAACAAAAGTTAATTCTCATTTTGAAAAATCTTGCAAAAATAAAATATATACTTCTGAAACGCTATTTGAGGAAAATTAGAAAACTGAAAGTTAAATTAATCTGATTTGAAACATTATATTACTTACTTATAGCATAAAATCTTGTACACAAACATTTCTTAATTACAGTGTCTTGTTCTTCTGAATGTGTCAATCGATTTATCGACGGCCGATTGACAGTCGAATGTGTTCATAGTTAAGTATAGTGGAGCAGACTGTAAAGTTTAAATAAAGGGTTTTTTTTTACAACCCTTAGAACACGTGACCTTTTAATGAGAGTTATAGGTATGACCATCCATAATTCAGAAATTCCGTACCTTTATTAACATACAAAAAATCGAAATTCTTTTAAAAATAATTGGGGTTATCAGATTGTAATAAGCTTTACAATATATGATTAATAATTAAGTTTTACTTAATAACCATAT